AAAACTATTTAATATTATGTAAAAAGTGAAATCATGAAGAGAAAAATTGAATTGTTCCTGTACCAATCTGTTCCGACCCTGCTGTGACTTAGTTAAGTCCCTAAATGAATCAATTGATAATAGAAAGCTTTCTTCTTTTTCTTTGACTATTGACATGCCATCACAGAACTGTAGGAAGACATGGATATAATCATAACTCTATTAAAAAAACAATAAAAAAATTAATATACATGTACATAAACCCAGATGACACTAGGCAAGTTTATTGTCATTAATTTTTAATTAAAAGCATTGGCAAGTTGACAAGATTTATGCACCATTTATTTTATTTATTTTTATTTAGAGATGTATACACTATAGTACACATATTACAGAAAATTGGGTACACAATTCAATCTAATCAGTGTTCATTTATCGTCACTCGAGTGCTTCTTTCTGAAATCATAGGTGTAGGAAGGGGGGGCTAGGGGGCTGAGCCCCCCAACTTTTGGCAGATGAACAATAAGAAATACCATTACATGGCTTAAAGGGACACGTTCACGGAAATAGAATGCACACGTTACTGTAGAGGAAGTAAACATTAAATTGGACGTGCGACAGATCATTAATTAATAGTTATGACACGTGTTTAGACACGCATAGAGAGTAGAGACAGAACAATCAGTCGCAGAACCAGGAGTAGGCATCTGTAGAACACTTCTCTCGAACAGAATTAGCTCTTTTGCCACCCCAAGATACTCTTTTTAGTGAAGAAACACCAGGAATATTTACAAGTAGCCACTCGAGTAGCCATTTTGCCTTAATTATTAGGGGTGCGGCCGCACGTTATGAATAGTTATCAACACTAAACATCATCATTAATGATGTCATCTTGAAAAACGGGCCAGTTTTTCAAGATGACGTGCTTCCGTGCATGTGTCCCTTTAAGTTAAAGTTATTAGCAGGTTATTCTTAGCCTGAAATTTCATTTACTTTAATGGGCATAGTGTGAATTAATGTTACAGTAGCAAAAATATTATGACAGGAATTAGGCGTGCAGTAGTTGTCCAGAGCATGCACCTATGATAGTACATGTTTTCATGCTTTTTTTATGTTCAGCCCCCATCAGCCCTCCCCAACTACAAAATCAGCTCAAACTTTTTACATAGCATAAGGACATTAATATGTATCAAAAAACGTAGTAAAAATGGGGGGTGATTTCGAAGTAATTTTTAAAAAAGTGTTCAGAAATCCTCATAATTAAAAAAATTGCCATAACTCAAAATCTATTAGTCAGAATTTGCTCAAACTTTCTACATACAATGTAGCATAAGGATATCAATATGTATCAAAATATAAACAAAATGGAGGGTGTTTTCAAAGCCATTCTTTGAAAAATCCACGAGCTATATACATACAGGCTATTTTGAAATTTGCTGATTTTAAAAATTACCACAACTAATTTTTTTTAGACAGAATCGGCTCAAACTTTCTACATAGCACAAGGACATTACAGTAGTTATATCATAAAACACAATAAAAATGGGGGTGTTTTTGGAGTCATTTGACCACTACTAAAGTCTATTCACTTTCACTTGACCCCTGGCTTTTTTCAATCAATAAATAACTATGTGACATCCGCATTCTTTACGTATTTGTGGTTTTGGAATTGTTTTTTGTTGCGCGGAAGAGATGCAGATAAGTAGCAGCTGAATTATTCTGGCTGTTCTAGCTGCATAATTGCGGTCAAAGGTATGTCATTGAGTTTATACAGGGACATCCAAAAAAGGCTAAGGCCTTATCATTTTGACCCGATATTTTTATCTAAAGGACGGGAAGGGCCTAGCAATTCTAATGGTGCAAACAAAATTTTTAAGTTCCATGTTTATCAAAAGTTATAACAAAAAATCAATAGGTCAGGTGAAACTGAATAGACTTTAATAAATTTTAGTCTAAAATGTCTCAAACTTTCAACATACAATGTAGCATAAGGACATCAGTAATTCAGTATGTATCACAAAACATAATGAGATGTGGGGTATTTTCAGGAACATTTTAAGGAAACATACATGTAGTACATCAGAAATTTGCTAATTTTGAAAATTGGTAATAATTAGTCAAAATTGGCTCAAACTTTATAAATAATATTAGAACATTATGTATTGAAAAATTAAAGAAAAAATAAGAAATGCTTTTGGAGCTATTTTTGGAAGAGAACATGAATGCCTGTATAGCACTAACAATAGCCATCTAAAGAGCAACATATTCCGATTATAAATCAATCCCAGATCACAAAAACTAAAACTCCACCACATTAAAGGATCATATGCTATACAATAAACAATGTACAAACCTCATAATGATAGTTCATACAAGTCAAGTCCCTCCAACAGGTATCACCTCTCATCTTTATCAAACCCTAAAGAAGGTTCCAATATTCAATCACATCCTATCTCTCACTTACAGCTCTAATCATAAAGCGGAATATCATCCAGCGATTTCCACAGACATTGGTCCAGCTTGTGGGCGTGTGATGTGGAAACTGGCTCAAACTCAAAACTGGAGATAAGAATATTGCAAGGAAACCCATTTCAAGTAACTGAGACTCCCAACCTACATGTACATGTACATGAATATTAATAATGTACACACATTACACAGTACACAATGAGCACATTATAATTAATTCAATTACTGCATACAATTACAAGCAGGGATATAACAGACTATGTAACCCTACGTATATCCCTGATACAAGTACCTAACAAATAATAACAATGGTAGTAAACTAACGATTACTGACCCACATTAGATAATGACTGATACAGTCTCCACAATATAAAGAACATAATTATCTACATTTCCTTCCTGCACCAAGAAAACACTATTGTACCAAACACCACCAGTCCCACTGTTACTACTGATTCTAAACTAAAACCAATATGCTATTCTGGTACCCACCAAAATAACATTGGGACCAAACTTATGCACTGCCTATTATGTTCTCTCAAATATTCTGAAGGTAAGCTTATAAGTGAATTGGTAGGAGCCCATTTCTCAAGTTTCCAGGAGCTGTTTATTCTGATGAAGTGCAATAAGAAATGATACAACTAAAAATAAATTCAAGACAGAGATTGTAACATCAATTTGAGCAACAACTGAAACCCCTCTGTAATAGTTCACTATCCATATAAATGTGCTACGTACATGTATTGTCTTTTAGTACATTTTAGTACATGTACACAGCTTTTGAAATATCGTATAGCTGGCTTTGTTTGCTGGAATCTATTTTGTGCTCTCTAATGCATGCGCACAAATTAAAACCATATTAATTTAGCACACTCTAATTGAACGTGTATGCATTGCTGTGTATCAGGGACAAATCTAAGGGTGGGCCTGGCCTACCCAAAAGTTTTGTGCCGTGATATAAAAATTGACTTGTTAATGTACACTGTGAAGCATGACTTTACAAACAATTTTTGGAGCTCATTTTAACTGGCTTAATCTTGAAAATTTTGACTTTCAATGCCTGTATGATATGCAGGCTTTGTTGGCCACACCCACTAATTATGTTAAGATATTGGGATTGGTAGAGGTAGTCGCAGACTGTAGTTGACAATAAATATGGTCAAAACTCAAGTTAATACAAAGAGGAAAAACAGAGAGAGAGAAAGAGAATACACCTGAGCAGAGAGATCATCAGAGAGAGTAACAATAACGACTGAATGAACAGAACGATAACAGAAACAGTAGACAGTGCATGCATCACAACTTATATAATACTAGCCATAACCACATGTATGAATAAGATAACCACAAACTAAAAATACAATATCAATAATAATTAAGATAGATTGACAAGTGTACATTATAATACTATTATTTCTAACAAATTACCCCACCTACATCATCAGTACCCACCAAAGAATTTAATCCTAGATCCGTCCCTGCCGTGTATGCATCAACAGGAGTCCATATTGTGGGGTTGGGGTTTAGGGTTTGGACTCCTGGCGTCAATTATTAGTCTGCATAAATTTTAAATAGACCACCCTAGGCGAGAATTGAATGCGTAGGAAGATTATTAGAAATTTTTACAGTTGTAAGGCGTGGTTTAAGATGAAATAAATTCCGGCCGCCATTTTGGTTGGCAACTTTCAATGGAGAACAAACGGGTCGACATAAAAATAAACCTGTATTAAGAATTCTAGAGCGAATTTGACCAAATGTTTCACAGGATAAGCTTAAAGGTAGCTATTCTTTCTTATAACAAGCACTTTTTAGCTATTGATAGAGCTACAGCAGGTAAGTGAGGCATTTTCTTCGTGCCTCCATTGACTTCCTTAACAAACTTGCCAACCAAAATGGCAGCCAATTATGGTGCGTGGGCGGATACCATATATAAAATTAATGAAATTCATAGCTTTCGCAATTCTCACTCTGGGTGGTCTATATACTTGCCAGATCTGTTACAATAATAGTAGTAAGTTACATAGCCTGCTGAACTACGCTCCTTTGGAGAAGAATGTAGGACAAATGAAGATCGTGAACTTGTCTGATATTGCGGTTCTTTCCACTGCAGAAACTCAGCTAACGTGGTGAATAGTCTCGCGTAGCCAGACCACGCCCTCCGTACCTGCGGGGTAGTGGTCTGGTGTACTGAGCTTGGCAAAGTTGTTCAAGGAAGTGAAGTGATAATAGGAAGCCATACACGTTTAATGCAATATCGTTGAATTTTTAATGTAATAATAGTAGGTGCGGCTATGACAAAATGGTGGGAGTTTGCTGTGTATGTGCATCTGATGTTTCAGTTGGAACTAAGAAGACAAAGAGGCGGAAAGTCAGTGGAGAGGCATCCAAATTGGCCATCAATGTCATAGACAATCTATCAGAGCGTGTCTATTATAAAAAATTGTCTAGTATTGTTAGTTCCAAAGCCTTTTTATGCCATAAATGTAACAGGAGACATCTTGCATTCTCTTTGCAAGAATGTCTCTTACAGACAGTGGAAAATGAAGAAATTCAGGATTGGATTATTGAACGCATCATTCCAAACTTCATTTAAAATTCAATAATTTACAGCTTTATACATACATCACAACAATTATTATTATCATTATCAGTTGAATCATGATTCATAACAAATAAAAAATCGTTGAGTAACAATTGCCTGCAGCATTTGGTTTTGTTGTTTCCATAATCTTTGACTCCTTGTTCTACAAATTTGCTAGGCTTTCCATATAGTAGAATAGCTTTAGATGGCTTATTGTCATGTCCTGCTCTGCCTGATTCCTGAACATACTGTTCTAGACTGGAAGGAGGACGCCAGTGATAAATAACTCGGACATCAGCAACATCAACCCCCATACCGAAGGCGCTTATTGTCATGTCCTGCTCTGCCTGATTCCTGAACATACTGTTCTAGACTGGAAGGAGGATGCCAGTGATAAATAACTCGGACATCAGCAACATCAACCCCCATACCGAAGGCAGTAGTCGCCAGTACAATACGCAATATTCCTTTCGGATCACTAAAAGACCTTAAAACGCTCTCCTTTACTTCTACAGTAGATGCCCGTGTATACTTCATTACCATAGCAAATTCCAGATGCTTTGGGTGGTGTGGTGGGAATGTAATATAAGGTCCTAACTTTCGTGACAGTATACGGTACATAACTTGACAATCGCTATAGTTCTGTTGAAAGATTATAGTCTTAGGATATTCCATACCCATTTCCTTCAGTTCCTTGGCTATCTCCTCACAGAACTCTTCTATTTCAGGCAGAGGTTGCACTTCATAATATATGTTACTTCGATCAGGTAAACACCCTATTAAAACTGGTTCCCTCAGAGATAAACTCTGGCAGACAATACGAAAAGTATGTTTAGTTGCTGTTGCTAATGCAACCAATTTATTTTTGTATATAGGAGATAACAGCATGTTCCTATACATGGGATTGCAAATCAAACTTTCCGGACTGATGTATAGCAGTTGGATATCTCCATGAAGCACCTTCTCTATTGCAGTCGAATCAAGTTGACCTTCACCTACAAACTCAGCAACAATGCCCATCAGTAAAAACTTTGCTTTCTGGTCCATCATGAGGGATACCAAAGGACTGACACAGATAACAATGCTGCCATATTGTTCTGTATAATACCTGGATTAATGTTCAGTATCATTTTTATTTAAACTAACCTTTGAATAAATCAAATGCTACAGGTAAAAGTGCATATATCAAAGACTTTCCATATCCTGTAGGAAGTGACACAAACACATCATTGCCAGACATGAAAGTCATAATAGCTTCAAGCTGTTTTTCTTTCAAAGAAAACCCAAAACGACTGGCAGCTTCTAAAACACACTTTTCTAGCTTATCTTCCATTTTATAAATAGGCGCGGTCAAAATGATTTTGACCACGCATTTTTAATTATGCCTAATTCATTAGCTTTATTGGTCTGACGTAGTTCTCACTGACCAAGCCGACGGTCAGCCTTTGAACAACTTTGCCAAGCTCAGTACACCAGACCACTACCCCGCAGGTACGGAGGGCGTGGTCTGGCTACGCGAGACTAAGGCCCCCCCCCTAGATCCGCCACTGGCTATAGCATATGCTATAAGAATTATTTACTGCACATACGATAGTGTGTATACAATGAGTATAACTAACTATTTACTACCTGCAAATATCGTTCTATTCTTGAAGAAAGTGACAGAGAAGCTCTCTTAGTGCTACCTTTTCTGCAACAGCTGAGCGTTACAACAGTCAACAGTGTCCGCGCATAATCAAATTCATATCTATGGGATCACGTGATCAATTTCCAATCCCGGTTACGTAGTCTATAATATCTATGGTCTTGCATACGGAAAGGTTGTTCCGTGATCCAAGTGGGCTGAAAGACGCTGTAGTATGACTCCACTTGGATCACATTTGCATGCTCCGTAAACTAAAGTTAATACATGCAAATAATATGGAGGGGTGGGATTTACGGAATACGCAATGATCCAAGTGGAGTGAAAAGCGCAGTAGCTAGCTGCACTGCTGGGGTGGGGTCTGTTTACCTTAACCGCAGCGTTGGCACAATAATGGCTATGTGCTCACCTCCACCAACAGCGAGACCAACAGCTCCAAGATTACTACTGCAAAGTATGGTTCTTTATTATTTTGGCCTTTAACGTTATACCAAGAATACCTTTTATATCTAGTCAATGACCTTGCAGACTTACTTGAGTTGCTATGTAAGCACGGCTACTCTGGTGTAACTTACTATGATCTGGGCCTTTATCTTGGCCTGTCTCCTGTTACACTGGATGTTATAGAAAAGAATAACGAAAGGGATGTTCAAATTTGTCTACGGGAATGTCTTAAGATATGGCTACAGAAAGCTGATGATGTAGACAAGAAAGGTGGTCCAACCATTCATTCTTTGATATCAGCTCTAAAAAAAGTTAAAGAGAAAGCAGTAGCTGATGGAATAGATATGGAAAGTAAGTTGAGAAAAGTGTGATTTAGATCTAGATGAATTTTAGGGCATCCTGCTTGTAAAATTCTTTCTAATTACACTTCACGCCTGTCTCAAGTTTTGGTCTCACTGTGGCCGTCTCTAGCTCCATTATTACATTCTGAAAGCCTCATTAAAAATGAGATCTCAAGAAAAGATGATATATTGATTGAAGTACAAGAAGCTGTTTGCTTGGATTTTTATAAGTTAGAGGTTTTTGCTGTAATTTTGCTAAGGTATACCGCCACAGCTGAACTTGGAAAGTCTATCATGAAGGAGTATAGTAAGTAGATTTACAGAGCAGCATAAAAGTGTTATTTTCTTTATAGGAAATTGTTATTGTGAGAACGATTTGATAAAAGTGGACAAAAGCACTGGTAAAATCACAAAATTGTATTGCATTAGCTTTTATTTTTGTAGATAAAGTTGGATTGAAAATTTATTTGCCTCAGAGCTTGACTAAGAGCTTTAAGTCAATGCGACTAAAGTATGGAGATACTTTTTTTACAGTGGAATCAATCATGATGAAATATTCACCAGCAATAGTTGACAAAATGAAGCAGCTATTGAATTTTTACGACACAGAATTAAAGCATTCACTTACTCAGTGTCAGAAAATCAGGGAAATTTTAGAAATAGTTTGCGACAAATGTTCTCTAAATGATATTGAAATACTGGAGTTTATTGTTAATAAGCTTAATATAAATGAGGCTAAGTTAGTTGTCCAGGAATATAATGAAGCTATTAAGGAGTTTAGTAAAATGAAACTTAGTCAGTGCCTCATGGAACAATTTTCGTATGGTTCACTGCTTTCTTGTGAAAAAGTTACTATTGTTGTTGATCAAGATGCTGCTGATTCAACCCTAAAGGATGTCCGGAGACTGTCAGGAGAAATATTCAGAGATCTTGTGCCACAAATCAAATTGTGTGTTATCAGAGATGATCAGTCTTTCACTGTAATATGTTCCTTTCCTTTGAGCCTTACTGAGCAGCTAATTGCAATTGCTCTGGAGAGCATTGAGATACTTAAAGAGAATAAAGTGAAGAGATTGACAATTGGTTATTGTATTGTGTACGAGGTACAGATTTTTATTATGCGCAAATTACCTTTATAATCATATTAAAGATAGAGGAAATGAAGGAACAGCAACATAGTGGTACTGGTACACTGAAGCAACTGGTGTTGTCACAGAGTATACAATTGCTCAACAGTAAGGACGAGATAAAAACTTTAGAGGTAACTCTAAACTCAATAATCTATATTATAAAAATTTTTATGCCTTTATTGATTATGAACTGATTCCTGCTTAATTTTGCATATTATAGAAAAACTTGTCAAATGAAAAAGAAGCAAGACAGTTTCTAGAAGTTAAAAGCAAAGTTTTGAAAGCACAGGGCTTTGAGAATCAATCGCTACAAAAAAGTGTCACAGAATTAAAAGAAGTTAGTTGAGGCTTGAAATGTTTATTATTATTAAATCAACAGGAAAATGCAGCACTCAAAGAGATAAATCAGTTATTAGAAGAGCAACTTGCTTTATTTCAGTCTGAGAAAGAAGGTAACATAGACATATGATTTTAATTACTACCATTTGTACACTAAAGAAAGTGAAGGTCAGATCAAAGATGAAGGTGTTGTAATTGCACTAACTATTACTATGATAATTGTAATTGCTAGGAATCAAGCAACCAAAGAAGTCACCTGAGAGAGATAAAGAGATTGAAGTGTTGCAAAACAAAATTTCATCAATTAGTATTCAAAAAATTGAGAAAGACGAAGTATTGAATAATATGGCAGAAGAAAATAAAAGGCTGAAATTAATGATAGGTATAATATTTACACCCAATTTAAGTATGTTTTCTTTCATTTAGATGAGATCAGTCAGAGCCTGGAGACTGATAGTCGAGATGAAGAAATAAAGTTTCTTACTCAACAATTAGAAATTACTAAAACTGAGAAAAAAGGTATTATATAATTTTATTGTACAAAATAATCATTATACTATTATTAGCCTAATATTTTCTACAAGACACTAACTGCTAGTGTTATATACTTATTACACTGTATATTATTCACAATCATAACCTTTTCTACTTTTAGCTCAACTAGATGTATTGCCTGCTTATATAAACCTGCATCAAAAACTTATTACTCATACGTACACTGTATACACATCCATTTATATGATAAATAATGATTAAAATAATAATAACTCCTGTATTAGTGCTGTCTTTGTAACAGGAATTAAGCTAAATTTAATTGGACTGGCCTTAGTAATAATGTCCAAAAATTTTATTTCACTTTATAACCTGGCTCTGCCCCTTCACTGGTAGGGAGGAGGGATTTGGTGACACTGTGCATTGGTTTGGGTGCACCAATCAAATTGTGGCTTACTTCAGCATTGATATAACTCATTTTATTTGAACCTATTAATTTTACTGTAACACAATTTTAATTTTTGCTAACTCTTTAGAATTGGAGAATTTATTGGCTGAAAGTAAAAAAGAAATTGAACTTTTACTGGACAAGATATCAACAATTAGTGTGCTAAAAATTAGTCCAAAAGAACGAATTGTAAGTATTTTAATTTAATAACCTGCATATT